TGGAGCGAGGGGGACTAGGATGCCGTTTCCTCCTTCTGCGAAGCAGTCATGCTAGCTAAGGAGGAGGCGGAGCGCGTGAGGGAACGAACCTCCTCACGCCCCGGCTGTCGCGAGAGACACGCCGGGCGTCGGGGATCCCGAGATGATCTCCGGCCATTGTAAGCACGAGCCTGCGGACGGCAAGCACGGGTGACTCGCCGCCCGACCAGAACCAGGCCCGAGCGTACGGCGCATCGCGTTCCGCGCGCGCCATCAGACCACCACAGATGGGGCCCAACAGGGCTGATGCCGATACGGAGCCGCGGAAGACTTAATAACGGGTTACCGGGGCTCCGGCTCGAAAAGCAGGAGTAGGAACGGGGTGGTTTTTAGTCAGTAAGAGTCTAACACTCACTCTCGCCTCATCCGGGCGAGAGCAGTCATTGGATGATTTTCCCCCCTCAAAAAAAAGGTCAAGAAAAGACTGTGTCTTGAATTTTACTTCGAGGATGGAAATACACTTACCCTTATTACATGGGACTTAACATAGTCAAACCCAAGATTCTTTGCTCAGCAGCCGCATATGGAGTTACTTTACTGAGGAGGCAGTCGAACATGAAACAATGCTTGTGTTGTGTTTCACCATACGATTGAAGTTACTTGAGACCCAGTTCTTTCTCCTATCCCAATACCCTATTCACAAATCTTGATAAGGCGATCAATCAAACTTAAATGCGATTGTCACACGCAAAAGCTAGTATTTTATAAAAAAACTTAGACAAAACGTGACTAGTGAATTAGAAACTTAAACAGAGGAAATAACATTAGATTCAACAAACCTGCAATCATGGCGTGATAGTTCCGGCATTAAATAAGCACTGCACTAGCTGATAGCTCCTCTAATCTAGCACTTCCATATTGAATGAAAACCTTTAAACTCTACTTTTAAACTTTTAAATTAAGTATTATTCGCAACAATAATTTGTTTTCAAAAACAATCGCTGCCCCTCACTATAGAATAAGTATGATAATTTAAATAAACACATAACTTCACATACACAGCAAAGGTGCACTATTTTGCACTGTTTTGTTCGCACACCACCTCAATATCAAATAAAACAATATCTTTTGCTGTATCCGAAACTCAGTAGTCGTGTTTGTGACCATTGCACCAACGAAGTAGCTATATTATTATACACTATAATCTAGTACTACACATAGTTTTTTTTAAGGGGGAAAATCATCCAATGACTGCTCCCGCCTGGGTGAAGCGGGAGGGAGTGTCAGACTCTTAATGACTAAAAACCACCCCGTTCCTTCTCCAGCACGTCGAGCCGGAGCCCCGGAAACCCGTTAGGTCCTCTGCGACAGAACTAGCACTCTAAAAGAGACAACAGCATCTACTTGATTACGTAAAATAAGTCTCACCACGATCAACATGTATCTGACGGTTTTGTCAGTAAAATGGTGAGTAGGACCAACGGCAACAGGGCACACAACTTTAGCACTACACTATAAATCGCGCATCTCAACAAACGCTCCTAAAGTACTACAAAACTGGACGTTTGAAAACTCAGAATCAGTCCAAACAATAGGGACAAAGGACATGTTGAATCATAAAAATTGGGGACCTCACTCGGCACACAGAGATACTAACTATGATACAATGCGTAAGTAAATTGACTGCCTGGTTGGCCGAATGGTTGCATTGCGGCTGCGGGGCAAGGGGTCTCGGGTTCGATTTCCGGGTCAGACAAAGTATTACTGGGTTTTTAAAAAAAAATCTCTAGAGTAACATGGGGTCTGGAATTGTGTCCAGTATATGGCAATAGGCTCACCCCCCATTACATGGGACTCATAACATAAATAGTGGTGAAAAGTGGGTATTACATTGTACAGTAGCATTCAGTGCCGTAATGTGCACCTCTGCCGACCCCTTTGGGGATAAAAAGCGTGATGTTATGTATGTAAATTACAACTTACTTCCAGACAACGATCTAATCTTTACGTAAGAACATAATGATAAAAAGGTAACGCGTTGCTGCTTCAGCTCCTGTCTCCTATTATGTGTACGTATTAAGATAGATGGTAGAATGCTGAGTGAAACTGCTTCTGTGAGGTTAGGAAACGTGGGTATTTCCTCAATTGACCTTCCAAGTGGACATAGGAAACTCTGTTTCAAGTCGAATGCTTCAGACGTTCCGGCCGAGCGAGCGGATGACGTTCGAGGTAGGCTCGATATCACCATTCATTTATTAGACAAAAACTAGGTTCATCTCTAATTTGTGGTACTATTTTTGTATTATAACTGTAGTAAGACTGTTAAATTAAGTATGTTGTACGGTTTGCTTGAGGAGGTAACTTGTCCAGTTTCAAGCTCCGCCAGGGACTATACTCAAGAGCGGCACGCGTGGCAATGATTCGTTGATGATGAATTACTTCTGGTATTTATTTAGCCCGAAATTTGCTTCGGTTTTACTACTGCACTTTAGTTTCGGATGAATATTATGTCTTATAGCTGGCTTAAACTTTGTCGTATAACGCGTACACATAAACGGCTATATATACTACATTTAATGACGGATGGCAAGAACACGTATTTCAGAAATAAAGGTAAGGAATAATAACAATAATAACATTGGTATTATTCCCACTTGAAATTACAATTCATCCATTATGACAAATCACTTATATATTATAATTAGATATATTAAAGAAAACATTTAATACAATCGATTTCAAAATAAAAGACGAGTACTTGATCGTATAAATAGGAAGTAAACCTTGACCTACCACCATAGATTTCGAAAACTGCTGAAGGTCGTGGACGCCCTTTCGCAGGAAATATTTTTTTAGTGTTTCGGTATCAAACACTTCGCAAAAACTTAACTAGAATATTATTTGCGTATAATATTTCTTAATATCGTAGCAGCGAATTAGATTTTTGACCTATCTGATGAATGGTATTACTGTTAATGTTCGTATTAGAGAACAAAAAAAATAAACAAAATTACAAGTGATTACATGCATTATAATTCAAAATATGTGGACGGATAATTGCACGTATAGCTCAGTAGCTATATACATACTAAACATAGTGTGTATCCAAATTTTACATGACGCCTTTTATCCCCATAGGGGTGGGCAGAGGTTCACATTACGGCACTTAATGCCAATGTACAATGTAACACCCACTTTTCACTATTTATATTACGAGTCCCATGTAATAGGAGGTGAGCCAATATGGCAATAGCCATAATGGCAATAGCCATATACCGGGCACATTTCCAGACTCTGTGCTACGACTGAGATTTTTAAAAAACCTAGTAAATAATACTTGGCCCGAACCGGGAATCGAACTCGAGATCCCTTGTCCGGCAGTCGCACTTCCGATTTTATTTGGCTAATGAGAGTCCAAAATAAGTACCAAATGAGTCGGAAGATGTCACTGGTGGAAAAACATAGGTGTACCATCTTTGAACAAAACTATAATAATGGCCAGAGTACTTTAAACTAATTCACATACAGTTCTTTAGAAATGGAAACATAGAATCGTCCACCAGTCTGTCTGTCTTTGAAGTTAGGGGCTCAATCCAACGTAACAACCCCCTCAATCCAGGGAGTATTATGAAGACCTAGTACTGATGGTGATCACCGTAATGGGTTTAGAGAGATAAAAATCCTTCACAGCTGCTTATTTTTTTTTGACTGAAAAATTGACCGTTGACACCTTTTAAAGTTTTCCGCCAAAAACATAAAGGTGTTTGTTTCATATCGTAGATTCATTTGGATAACAACGAGAATAAGTTGATGATAGGATCAGTGACTATCCTTGTAAAGTATTATTGCACTGGCTGTTATAATCTCATCGTCTTCCCTTTCGTTAGAACGATAGTAAAAGTGTCTCAACTTCCATTCGCCGCCGCCATCGGCGCTCGCGCATATACATTGCAACTTTAATTTCGCTTTGTATATATAATTTATGTATAAGATATATGTATTATACGCATTATTTCCTGTCTTATTTTTCCGCTTGCATGAATAGATTGAATAACTAAAACTTCTACTGTTTCTCGGTAAGAAGGCATCGTCTAGAAAAGCCTTCGATCTTCTTGCATGTTTGAAACTGCCAATCTTTTGATTAACTGAAATGAAATTATACTTTAATTTACATGGTAAGTCACAAACATTGATTGATATTTGAAACAATCGATATATTCTCCAAATATACTTTGTTGAAAGTTCGAGACAAAGATGTTGTTCCTCATTCATGATTGTGTTCCTTTCAATATTGTAATTGTATATCCGATTAATGGCCATGAATGTGTAGACACGATGATTCCCAAGGATAGACAACCAAACGTGATTATATCATGACTGGAGGGCGAATAAAGCAATAAACTTTTTCTATTCCCAAGCAACGGTTCCGAGACCCCAGCCGAGCTAGTGTCCATAAATAACTCGGTAATAACGGTATTTTTCAATAAAACAAACTCTTTTATTGGACGTTTATTTATTACTTGATGACTACAATGCCTGCCCTATAAACATGACGTAAGATGCGCTCCATTAAGATCCTCAACAATTCATTTTCGCGCCCAGAGGCCCTTGCGGATCTTCGTCACAATCAGATCTCCGGATCACAAACGAATATCCACTTTACTGCCACAATGTAAACTGTATTTTCACTGTAATGAGACAGCCCCGCAGATATCTGCGAAGAGACTCATCTGTTGGAATATGAACCTTGCCAGTCAATATTTTCGAGCTTAAAATTGATTGCAACAGTGAAGTTTTTATAAAAACGGATCTACATCCGCATAATGTATTTTGTCCGGTGGTAATAGAATTGAAATTGGTTTGGGTGCAGTCGCACGCGCATTAGCTTGAATCCGCCGAGAGGCAGTGTCGCGAAACGCGACCACGTTGCGATATAAAAGGAAGTTTTGTTTAAATTTCTTTATCACACACCAACTGCCTGCACCCGCGCTCGGTCACTCACCGCTCTATCTTCTTACACCATGTCTGCCCGTCTTCTGGTGAGTCATAATATTTAGATAATTAATATACACATACAATAACACACGATTACATATGAAGCTGGAATATTTTTGCATTTCCGGACATCCTTTACATAACTGTGAGTAAAATAGTTGTAACTAGTTACGCCTGAAATAGTGTTTGCCTACCACGATTTTGAATGACTTTAAGTGTTCAAAATGTGTTCCGAATTAGGCTTTAAATGTGAAACTATTCAGGATAATTGTGTGCCAATTGCCGTTAACAATAGCAAGTCATAGTGTCACAACAACGTAAAAAAGAACATTAAAATATCTGATGGAAGCAGGTGGTGTTGATTGCGATCCAATCAGAATTGCTTAATTCGCGGACAATACAGAAAACTGTCGATAACTAATTAAGAACTTTGACACAATTTCACTTCAAGTTATTATCGATCGAGTTAATTTCACATCCATTGTGACAACCTTGTGTATTAATGAGATTTCACAGTAATGTGAAAATGGTTTAAAATCAAGAAAAACAATAAAATGAAGCTTTCAGCAGTATAAATATTGTAAATTGATATTTGCGAGTCGTCTCATAGAGTAATAGTATTCTTACACATTCAAAACTTATTCACTGTAAATATAGCTCTTTGCAAACTTCACTTCATATCAAACAGACAAGTAATTGTATTTTGCACAGAGAGGGAGTCATTTTCATTGTAGCCACTCGATCATAGGTACCAACCGATACTCGGTAAGTTAGAAAGTGTTCTCGAATGTCACGTTCATTCCAAGGCTTTTTTTATTAGTTATTATTTATTTACTGCTTTATAACAATTTTACTTTGGTATGTGTTAGAAAATAGAAATTATTCTTGTTGTTAGCAAAGCCCTAACGCCTGGCGAAGTCCCCTATTAATGCTTGCCTTTGCGACTGTGTTTTCATTTCCGTGTGTTTCCTTCCGAGTGAAATTGCTATGGAGTGACTAGTGACTTATGTACCTACAGTGTACCTCTAGTACGGCACATAGTATGTCTACGTATGATTGTATAGAGTTAAACAACCGCGCGATTTTCGTAGCGCTTCGTAGACACTTCGTAGCACTTTTGGAAGGTGATTTTTTTTATACAAAATGAGTTGCTACATGCAGCTTCCTTCATAGTGTTTATGGTATCAACACAATATAATTTATGGGTGGTTTCGTTATACATATTAATCAGTAATGGTGGACGACCAAAATTATTCTGTTAGTCTAAAGGTTTCGTGATGAATCTGAGCACCTGTTTTGGAGAAACCAAGTTTGACAAGATTTATCGCATTATTACGTACTCAGAGAATGGTTTAAACATACAAAATGTAAGAGAAATTAGACTAAAACCTAAAATTAAAGGTATAGGTTAATCGGTATCTTCCGTTTCAGAAACTTTAGACACAAATAGTTATTGTAGATATGTTATGTCACCGATGTCCAGAAATGCACACACATAATATAAAAACAGGATTATTATCAGTAACTTATCAGACTTTCCCATAATTCCAGGTGGTCTTAGTCTGCATGGCAGAACTGATGTCGCTGATCGCTGCTGGCGGTGGCGGTGGAGGTCACAAGAAGGTCATCATCCACGTGCCAGTGTTTGTGAAGCACCATCACCATAAACACACCATTGTGAAGCACATACACCACAAGAGCGGCGGAGGTGGTGGTGATGACCACTATGAGGTCCTAGGGTACACTTACGGGGAACCCAAACCTGCACCACACTTCGGAGGAGGTTAGTTTATGGACTAAATTGGTGATCATGAGTAATGGAGGTCTATCAATGGACTGTACATTTGTATAGATTGCGTTTTGTTACCAGGACTCAGAAATGTGTTTGTGTGTGTCACGTTTCTAGAAGTTTTTCACCTCAAAAACTGAGTGAAAGTCCTTGGATCTTGAAATTTTGGCAATTTCATTTCAAATTCTTCTTATTCATGTGAGACTAGTAAACTAATAAATAAAAATCTCCATATTCAACGTTAATTTAAAATACCCAGAGAAATATTCGTTTGGACATTTGTGAATATTTTTTTATTCACAAGAGTGTAATTAAAAGATCCAAATCGTTGGAAAATTTAAAAGGCAAGAATAAATTTTGTAATTTAAGTGCTCTTTAAGTTTTTGGAAATATTTACGAATTGATATAACTCACGTAAATACGGAAAACGATTGCAAAAAGTATAATAATAAAAATATAGGTTACCAACACTAAAACTTCGGACAACGACTAGGAAAAACAACAGGGTGCTCATTAAAGTAATATTAAGATTTTAAAACGAAGATTGGATAGAAAACACTTTGTTTCACACTGAGAAACGATTAGAGAGAGATAAACTGTCATTACAAACAATGACAACTTTATCTCGAATCATAAATGTTTTTCTAATGATTTCAACTATGTTGGTGATGTATATATGTACTACCTTTTACATAAGAAATGGTTGGCGCATGTAACGCCAGTATTTCGTCCAGAATAGACAACAATATGTTGATTTTATTTTAGAAAAATATTGCTAAGAGGCCAGGTGTAAAAGTAACTCTAACTAATTTAAACTAGATACATGAATATGATGGAAGTTTCTGTCTATGTGTTTGTAACACTGACAAAAGTGTGAATTAAAGTTAATGAACGATTTTTGTTGTTTTCCAGGTCATGGTTGGGGTGCGGCCGAGGAGTCCCATGGCGATGGCGGATACGGAGACTCTCCTGTCAGCTTTGAAGGTGGAGACCACACAGGATACGGCCTTGCTGAGAGTGAAGACGTATCTTACGGCTCAGACATAGGCCACGGAGGATACTGACCACATCAATACAAATAACTCTGTACATATCATTATTATAAGGTTGTAACATGGATTGACAGTGAACGTAGTACAAATTATGACTAAATATCAACTGGAAATACTTATTATTTCCTTCAATTCGTCTGTTCATCTTTACTGTATTACGTGCATTGTTTCAAATTTATTGTTGCAGTGACTACTTGTATCCTCATTATGTTATTTACAAAGCTGTGAAGGTTTGTCTCGAATGTCTTGTATGTAGCTTTACAGTTTGACTGTACCCGTGTTTGTCCGTCTGTATGTTTGTATACTAGCTCTAAGGTATAGCTTTAAGTAACCGTTGTTGTGAAATATATCCCGGTTTAAACGGGAGTTTGTTATTAATATTATACCTGTTTTTATTTAAAATATTACCGTTTGTAACAGTGTTTTATTTTGTCCTGTTCCCTGAATAGTCTATACCTATGCCGTTGCAGCGTTGCGTATCACTATTCAAGCGTCTATCAATGGCAAACCATAGAATATTGTACGCACAGCACTAGTATAAAATTAGACCAAATAAAATAAACCAACTCGCGGTTGGTATTCGATGTAAAAAACAAATGGCGACTGCTGTAACTTTCTAACATGGCACATCTTTTGTTCGTTTTGTGATTTTCCGCATCTTGATGCACAAACGTAACTACAAATTCTTATATTTTTTGTTTCCTACATAGAATTCGTTCCGGAACCTTAAATGCGGTCGCCTATGTAGACTGTTGCGTTCTCCTAATTGTTACTAGACGCGGAACTTGCATGTCTGTCTGCATATTTTTTATTTCATTTGCTTAAGATATGTTCTTGATTACACAACCAGTAGCGTTATTAGAGTAAATATACTTTCATAGACTGTCTAACACATTTCTCAGATTACAGCGACCGCTAAAATATACTTAGGTATTTATATTGCTCAATATATCTAAAGGTCACAAACGCGACTCTAGGTTTCAATTGGAACACAAATATTGTGTTTTTTATTTTGTAAGCACAGGGTGAGACTTTCTTGACATCGATACAACCTACATACCAGAAAGAAAAGAATGTAGTTCTTTTCAAGACGCCAGCAACACAGTTGTAACTTACCTGGTGCTATGGGTATCCGTGGGTGGCGCTGATCACTAAATACCTAGCACCTTCTTATTCTTTTACTCCCTCGATCCAAAACATAGCGATAAAGGACGATAAACGATATTTATAGTGTTTTAGTATCAAAATAAATACAGGGTCCACAAAAACAGTAAGTATATAAATACGCCCTATAGTAGTTTCGAAAACTACAATGGCAGGTGCCTGGATTTACTACTAGTGGCATAGTGGCCATTGCGGTGCCCCTGGATACTTACAAATCCTGGTTAGTCACAAAGTGGTCAAAGATTCTGCAGCTTGCTAAGTTTTAAGAATTTAGTGCATTTAGCAAAATATACAAGAAGATCGCCGTGTAAAGACTTCGACCCAAAAAGTCCTGATACATCAGCGTGAACGATGTCAACCTTTTGCTCTGTTACGGCACGGATGCAAGGTATTTGTGTCATATTTTTAACTTTTGAAAGTGCCTTCACCAAGTGCACTATGTAACAAACTTACTGTAGTAAACAGTCGCATAATACGTAATTATTATGTGTTGTATGTATCAACGATCTCGGAAAAGATCCCAACGATTTTCTAGAAATTTATTTTGGGGTTTTCGGGGGCGAGAAATTGATCTAATTAAGTTTCATTTTTACAAAATGTTATTTGCAAAACAACAGGTGATCCAGGCACAATTTCAGTACATTTGGTTTGTTTTATCTGCAAGCACGAGTCTCAAAATTTCAGATTTGATTCCCAGATCGGGGAATATATTATTAGGATTTATTTTATTATTAGGCCTCCCGCTAGGTGGACCGACGACGTCGCCAGAGTTACGGGGAGCCAGTGGATGCAGGCGGCGAGTTGTCGTTCAACGTGGAGGACTAAGGGAGGCCTTTTTCCAGCAGTGGACGTCTTCCGGCTTGATGATGATAATGATGATGATTTGTCGGTTTTCGGAAAATTCTCAGCAGTAGCAGATAAAGTTACGTTACGTACTGAACTCCATATTTGTCGGAAGTGGTTTGCTTTATCTACATAAGCAACTATAAGGTCGAATCCTAGTTTATCTTCCCGACGCTTTTAAGCACAGAAAATAAATATCTATTTTCTGTACTTTTAAGGAATGTGACGTGGTTTCATGAAATGTAGACTTTCTTTAATTTTGAATAGCCTAGGTTAAATGGAAAGGTTACTTTTCACCAATATGGACTCGTTCCAACTTATCCGAGTGTTTTTTGATTTAAATCTAAACCAGATATTTCTTTGGTTTTCTGGTTTAGTATTTGGAAACTTAATATTTTCGGCATTTTAGAAATTAAAGTAGATAATGAAAATCTCACTTCTCTCTTTCTTATTATTTATTAGGTACCTACAATAATGACCACCTTTGTGCTAATTTACATGCGGATAGAATGCTTATTTGGTAAAAAGTAATTTTAATTAAAAAAAAACGTTACCCCACACTTGTATTTTTTCTTGTGTCATGGGTGCGTTATTACAAACATATAGCTTCACATACATATCATACCCGGAACAACAATCTGTGGATCACACAAAGAGTTATTCCATGCGGGAATCGAACCTGCGACACGCTGCGGGGCAGCCAGTTGCTCAGCCATCACGCCAACCGTGCAGTCTCTCTAGTTTATTAAACTTCCTAATATATTTTTTGACATTATTCCTATATTTTGACTGCGCCTTGCTTGTCAGTCGGTCACTAAGCCACTAGTAACGGAAAGACCGAAACTCCATTAAAATCCAAAATCTATTGCATAATATGCAAAACTGATGCATGTTATCGTTATCATAGATTCATAGTGCATTCATCATCAACAGCCTATAAATGCCCACTGCTGAGCAAAGCCTTTTTCTCACACAGGTTTGAGCATTAATCACCACCTTGCACAATGCGGTTGCTCATTTCAAACTTATAATTAGAAATTATAAGGCCAGGTTTCCTCACGATGTTTTCCTTCACCATTTGTCAGTGGTGTCTGAATAATTTTAGAAAACACATATAACTCAGAAAAAGGCACATTGGTACTTGGTAGGTTTCAAACCCGCACCCTATTGTGGCCACCACGACACTATTGTGCATTATCCTTATTAAAACTTTTAGTGGTTATTTTAGGCACATCTTTCTGAATGAAGGCATTGTTAAGTTCAACTTGACAGCGTGGTTCGCGCGGTGGCTGGGCAACCGGCAGCCAACGTGTATTGGGTTGGATTCGCTTGGAAATCTTTGTGTGATCCACAATTTTTCTGGATCTGGGCGTCATGTGCTAGTGAATTTGTAAGTTTGTAAACACACCCACGATACAGGAGATAATAGCGTGGGGCAACGTTTAAAAAAACTTTTTCCATTATAGTAAATTCCATTCTACGTGGTGATGGCGGCGTATAGTGCAATTGACAACACTTCGACTCTTCTGCTAGGCCGTAAACATAAGAACTGACTAAGAAACTACATATTTTACAGTCATTGGGCAGAAAAGCCCTCAGGTAATCATGACCGGTTTAAACTACGGAGATTGGAATCTGCGCCTACCAAGAGTAGCGATTATCGAAAATCCTGTTATACAAAGGAGCTTAATAATCAATTAGGGGGCTGTTGACAAGTAAGTTCCAAATGATAAAAAAACAACTTTTGTACTTTTTATTTTATATAAGAATAACAAAGTTTAACAATTAACTTTAAATAACTAAACAATAATAATTCATTGGTATATCGGTAGGGAATACAAAGATAGGTACTTAGGTACTAAAACAATAACAAATTGTAAACTAAAGTATTAATAGTAAAGTTAACAACATCAATAATGGGAAATATCTTGTTATTTTACAATACAAGCGAAGGATAAGAAAAATAACGTGTAAGTAAAGTATATTTAAATAAGTTTATTATTGAAAGTATAATTTTTCGCAACTTATTTGAAATTCGATTGGTATGAAGAAAATGTAAAAATGGGTCAAAGTTTCTTATGTAGGCTGGCTAACTTACGCCGTAATATAACGCCGGCATACCGTCTAAATTGTACGAGTACATGTAACACATCGAGTCAAGATACCATTAAATCAAATCACACAAACTCCCCAGCCAAACAACTATTGTATATTTTTCTTATTTCCAACCAGTGTCCAGTTACACAACACTTAAATAGAACTTTTTTTCTTATTAAATTATTCTGCTACAGTTACGTTGACAGTTAAAAAAAAAGTTTTTCTAACAACTTGCGCAACTACGGATCTAGGGCGAGTCGAATCAGCCGACGTCGTTTACTATTTGGGGTGTAGTAAATTACTATGTAAGTAGTTTGGTGACATAAGAGCTTTCAATAACTGAATAGATAGTTACAGCTGTTACAGACAGACTAAATAACAATCAAACAGTAACAATAGGATAACAATTAAAAATACTTCCTTCAAATTATCTTTTTGTAGTAACTGTTATTGTTAAACGCTTTAGAGTTTGCGTGATTATGCTTTCGTTTTCATCTCTAGTTTATTGAATAAGTTTTCTATAGAACAATAGATTTCATGAAAAATAATCATTATTAAAATACTTTTTCTTCGCTTGTAATGACTTCACGACTATATTAACAACCTCTAGGCAGTTTTGATATTAAGTTCCCATTATGAACCGCGTACAGTAAATTTAAATTACTTACAAATCTAATAGACAAGGGTCTCAACATTGCCTGTATTCGTGGTATGCTGTATACCAGCCTCTCTTGTGAAAGACACGGGAGTATCATCAGATAGATTGTTCTCCTCGTGGGAAATGAAAGATCCGTCCTTACCGTCGGACCCTGTAAACGAGTTTAGCTGACCGTCAAAGCCCTCAGCTTGGAACGTTACGGGGTAGTCAGCTGATGGCTGGACGCTGGGGCTGAAGCCTATACCCTGTGTTGGAGCAGAGGACGCAAAAGGATCACTCTGCACGGAACCCGTAAAAGTCTCAATTCCATCAGAAAGTGCCGTCGTAGGCACTGGAGCTGCTGCGAATTGTGTTGGAATCGCGCTATGTGAAGTTAATTCAGAATATGGATCATTTGTCGGCTCTGGAGCAGCGCTACGAACATAGCCGAATGTCGCCGGAAATCTGTTTTGTAGCTGATTGACCGTTGTGAACACATCGTCATCCTCCTCGCCTTCTTCCGTCACCTCGTAGCCATGACCACCGCCACCAGCGTTAGGTAATGCACCAGGTAGAGAGTCAAACACCTTCACTTGTTTTACTGTGTGAGTTACTCCATGTACTCGAGGGCTCTGACCAACGGAAAAACCAGTACTTGGGATGCCACCGTAAGCTGGTACTGACGGGGAATATGAATGAGAATAGTCGTCCTCATAGGAAGGAATAGCACTGGGAGTGTAAGAGAAGCTTGGCACGACTGGCGCGTCATGGTGATGTCCGTGACCGTGGTGACCGTGATGCCCGTGATGACCATGATGTCCATGATGACCGTGATGACCGTGGTGGTGCCCGTGATGATGACCGTGATGCTTCCCCTTCGTTTCTGTATGCGACTTTGTATGAACCTTCTTATGATGATGATGGTAATGATGTCCATGTGGCATCTGTGGCTTATGGTGGTGGTGATGATGATGATGATGCTCTTTCTTTGGCTTGTGGTGATGATGATGAATTGTTATTACTTTCTTATGGTGATCATGATGAATGAACTCCGGAATGTGCAATCGCACGTGGTCACTGAAAAATAGGTTACAAATGATAACCATAAATAAACAAACAGTAACATAAATTATAATACAATTGTGGATAAAGTCGCTGTAGCAAAGCAGAAAATCACCATTAAATAAATTAGCCATGATTGGTTCCCTTCGAGCGTGACATTACATTACCCTAATTCAAACTTTCGAGACTGCCGCATAGCTAAGCACAGATATTTCGCTTGTGTTAAGAAGAAAAATATATGCATAATGTACTTTACAACTTAATATTTATATTCAAAAACAATATAATTATGCTTAAAAGGGTCTCTCTTACTATGCAGTAACTGTATCTTCAGTATTTTTTCAAAAATAAATAATTTCGGAATAATATCTCAAATTATACACAGCACTAGTATGAATAGAATTTAATAACATGTAAGTAATACGCGAATGCTTACTGGTGTTTCCCTCCGCCTCCAGTCTCGCCTCCCTCGAGGCACAGCACCACGAGCACCGTGAGGAACTTGGTAACATCCATGTCTGTAGCACGTCCACCAACTAGCACGACAACAGTCCACAACTCGCGCTGACCAGTACAGCTGAACTAATAACACCAACGAAACGGACCTACGTTCACATTTTGTTTTACATCACAACCAATACTTTCTTTCCTTCCAGATTTTTAGTTTTATTTTAGAGCAGTGGAGCGACGAGCATCACGAGGCAGCACCGCACCGCCGCCACACCGCACCGGATTGAGTAGCGCAACATCGCGAGATGACCATTTATCCAATTTCGCTTAAATAAACCCGTAATATCAACAAAAAGAGAACAATTGCTTCTGTCGGCGAAGCATGCCAAAAGACATAGTGGGCGTGCGCGACGGGACGATTGTCGCTCTAGTTTCCATCGATGCAGAGTTCTTTTCGTGCGCCCGGAAATAAGGTGGCAGCGGTTTTTTGCTTGCTCTGTGTGTAATAGCTATTTCACTACCGTTCCAAACCGCAACGTAGATGCTGTAATAGTTACGACTGCGTTCTTCCTAGCGATCTGTCGATACACTTCAGTCTAGGTTTCTGGATAACCCAGTTATACTGGAATGCGCACGGCCAGTTATACAACAAGCTACATTATAATACTTCATTCAACTAAAGTTTGGCTCCTCCGTTGAATGAACTCAACAAAAATAGAAGACGCTGTGAGTAAGGTCGATTACATCGATTAGTTATTTCTATAAGTGCGGGGTGGCGTCCAATAAATAAAACTTGTAAGGGTCAAATCGTGCTCATAAATAACTCTTTAGAGTATGCCCATTAAAATTTAATCATTCGTTACGATTGTATTTATTGATTACCAGTGCGTTAGTGACTGTACTTTTTGGTTTGTTTCAAGTGATTACCTAGTCTGTGTGTTTTTTCAATTGGTATCAAATGTATTGGTGGTATTTTTATAAAACAGGTTATAAAATTGGTTTCTATAAAATTTAAGTACTTATCTATTTTTTAAATGAGTTTACAGAACATGAAAACTAGGCTCATACTAGCGATCTTTCAATGTTATTAACTATAACAAGCAGTCCTTTAAAAGCTCTCAACGATGTATGCTTAAACTGTTGGTAGCTACTTAAAATAATTGTCCGGTCCTATTTTAAGTTTTGACAATTAGTTACCTAAGATTTATGAAACTATTCCAGCGCCGACTTTACCAGTCGGCGGAAACAATAGGTGATGCCGTGATGGTGATGTTCTAGGCGGACCTGGATCCAAGGAATACACAGTAAGCATGAAAAGTTCTTCATCTGATGAGTCTGATATTTTCCACAGGTAGTTCGATAAGAAATAATAAATTCCTCACGCTAAACAGAATTCCAAACATTATTTTCGTTTTCTTATTTTAAACAAAATGCAACAACGGACATAACCTACTTTTTTAATTTAAAATATCTATGACATAATAAGTTATTGCCATTATGTAAGTACAATAGTGACTTTATCAGGTTCGACGCAAAGAAATAACTTTGTTAGCGTACTTTTTTCTCTATTTACTTCTTCATTTAAAAGGAAAAGTGGTTCACATTCATGTAGACCATTGAATTATCGAGTTTCGAAACCAAAATAGACACAGAATATTAAACCTTGTATTACACTGAATAAGTATGTACGTGACGTGTATTATATAGGTTACACTACATTATCACCACGCCTGGCAGGCGTGTTGGAGATTGTAGATTTAATGTGTCAGGTTCTTTTTCTCTTTGCACGGTCTGTCAAAAGTCCCTTACGATAAAAATTTTGAATATTTTTTATTGATTTTTAACATAAAGTTTTGCTTTTTGTTTAGTTATGTAGACCTTATAAATCCGTTTTACCTTATGTAGACAGAGCTTTAAATTAAGTTTAGTTGTTAATTTTGGTCAATAAACCCTTGAGATGCTATAATAATATGTACTTCCTGACCCGGCCAATTTCGTACTGCTTACAATTTTCTCCACTTTATTAAACCTGCCCTGAACTTCCACGACATTTCAGGACCAAATTTAATCAAATATGTTCAACCGTTATCGAATTTTAGCGTGTCTAACGAACTGAAATTCATTTTTATTTATACAAGATAGATAGGTAAACATCACGGATAGAGTTCATCACAGTCAAATTTTGTCATTAACGCCCGAATACTGAAAGGGTACTCAATTTGAAGTTGCACTTCAATATCGTGCCATGTCTGTCATTTTACAAAGAATTTGTAGTGACAGAACTATACTTAACACCTTGAACGCCATGGGGACAACGTATGGGCCACGCTAGCGGAGGATTTACCTTCAACGGTTTTCTGTCAGCAGTCAAAGCCTTAAACGCGACTTAAAATTTTGAGGTTTGAGTATTTAGACATAAGTTAAATAAAATTATGAACACAACACATGGAAAAAATTAAGGCATTAATCTGACAAAACATCCGTTAATGATACTAATGAAACAATGTAATTGTTTTAAATTAACAAGTTTATTATAACATAAATCTTAAAATATCGCTAACATGAAAACTAAATAAATAAAAACAATTCATAAGATAATACAAATAAATAACAAATATAACTAGCGGCTGAATCAATAACCCATCTCTATAGAAAATCTTTGATTAGATTAAAGTGTTATTTAAAAAAATGGCCGCATAAACCCAAATATTTTGAAATATTATCATCATCGCATAAGCCAGCAAGGGATAGGCTAATAATTTCCAGACAGGCTGACAGGCACCCGAAAGTCAAGATGGTTCCATTGAGGGAAAGAAACAGAGCTATACAAGTCGTCTAGCGTGATCTCGTTCCCTCAGCGGAACTACTCCGGCTTTAAGACGTCATAATACGCCACTTGTATCTTGGAAATTTTGGATACAGATGGGTTATTCCTTTCTGCCATAATTAGGTACAAGAGTATTTTCATTCCCCGTGGTTCCATCTACTCGTTCTGCTCTTAAAGAAAGTAGCTTTATGTTAACCAGTAGGTATAACATTAATTCTTCATCTTACTTTATCCTACACTTAGACTTTTTCCTGTTTAAGTAGTGGGTGTGTAACCCAATCTCACATGAACGAATACACCCAAAAATAACCTTCCTCCACTATAGATAGAGGGTGTCTTAACAATGTTTCATGACACACAACCTACAGACTGTTAATCTAAGTAATTAGAAACTAAAATAAATTAAACAAGAAATTAATCTTGAACAGTCTCTCTATGAGATACCTCATCAGTCAATAAAATTAATGTCGTAAAATTTTTGAAATAATACATTTACTTAAGTTTTTCTCAATCTCCTTCTTACTAGTTTGCTTACGGATGCCACCATGTCCGTTTTCTTAGTCTCTCGTAACAGACGTTATCATATCATAAACTCCTTTTTCATTCATATCAATTTTTTCTTCACATCATCATCGTCATCAACATCAGGAAGACGTCTACTGCTCAACAAGGCCATGCCCCTTAATTCCCCTTCTTTTCTGCCTATCCCTTATGAAAAATATGGACAAGATTTTGTTTTCCAATATAATTTAATTTCAAGTCAGTTTTTTTCTAGTTCATAGAAAAACGAAACATAACTTCTCTACAATTCGTGTCTTTGTTAGTATTTAATAATATTTGTACAATATTTTATTTTTAATAGATAAAGTCACCTGTGGTTAACTACTAATCTAAATTCTAATTTAAAGACTTCTAGCCTTGATAAATACTGATCAAAGTTTTAGCGTTTTAGGAAATTAAATTCAAATTAGATATAGTCGACTTATGTAGTAATTAATACTTACTTAAATATAAATCTTAACGTAAAATAATGCCAAGGGTACACTTGCGAGCGAAGCCTGCCAATGTCGCCTGACATATACGGTGACTAACTAACTATCATAGGTCCACACTGACGTTGATTTTGCCAGACATGTCGACAAAAGTCCAGCAACGTCGCGCTACTCCAGCCGACGTCGCTGGCGACACGTGTCGCAGGACATCTGTCCCCTAGTGTATCCTTGGCTTTAGGCTTTAGCACACTTTTCTTACCACCGAACTCAGAATCATTAAATGGTTACATAATGCAGTCCTCGGCAATTGTTTTCGGAATGGAATCGGTACCAAGGAATAGTGTAAGTTACCATTAAATGTCTATGAATACGGTTGGTTAGAAAGATTAAGTCGTAAAACGAATTAATAACCAATTACACAATATATAATAATTTATGAGTATTTCTAAAGAAATCACGATTACCAACAATTGACTAACGAACACTTGATTCAGTTCAGTCACACGAAGGATAGACAATAGACAGGTTATTGTACTGAAATGCATAAATGTTGCAAGATTTTCAAATGTTACAAAAACTATTTCAATCTATGTAGGTATTTACAATTAATTTTTTTTGACATTACCAAATCATTGCCCAAAAAAATAAATGTCGTAAAGCTTATTTTGTCAGTCTATTATGGCTTGTCCCAACCCACATATTGCACGTAGCTGTCACCTGTAACCAAAAAAATCATTTGCGTATGAAGATTAAACATTCTACAATGGTTACTTTTCTGCTGAAATTACTTAATAATTACTTATAGTTATAAGAAATTCGAATTTGTTATAACATTGCAAAGACTCACCTAAATTCTTCTATAGAGTGGAACAATATGTCGAGTTGGCAGACCAGGAATCTCATGGGGAGGCACATCTGGAATTTGGAGCGGGACATCCAAGAGGCTGTCTGGTAGGAAGTCTGGAATCCCAACCCCGGGAGCAGGCTGACTGTGCTGACCAACTGGGGAGTCATCATGGATGTGGAAGTGATGGAAATGCTCATGTTCCTCGGAGCTCACGAGGCTGTGGTCCATGTGAGGCTCGCGGTGCTTGTGGTGATGATGGATGGTCTTGTACACCGTGTGCGTGTGCTTTATCTTCTTCACTTTGACTGGGACGTGGATCACCACCTTCTTGTTCCGTCTGTGGATTACAGATTTATGTTTTATTGAGAAAAGTTACATGGAAGACTAGTGTTACAAATCTCAAATAATGTAAACATTTGGGGAATTTTGTCATGCCCTATTTTATTTAGACATTAATCTAAATAGAAATTACAACGGGTCCATTAAAAAACCAAATCTTTATAAGTGAAAACCTAATAAGACGTTAAGCAGTCATGATTGAAATTCATTCATCATTACCAATTACCCTACATGATTCAGACAACAGTTTCTAAACCCCCTTTTACCCGGTAGTTTAAGCATATGCAATCAATCAGCCTAACCAAGTTAAGGCAACAATAGAAATGGCTTACAATAACAAATTTGAAAAGTGTGACAATAATAAACTGGTAGAAACTCACATGATATATTCAAGTATCAATTTCGCATATTTATCGCATTATTGTGTAACGGAAAATGAACACAATACGGCTAATATAGTAGTTGAGTGTATACTTATATACTTTGTGCTTATTACCATGTAGATATGCGTGTTATAACCGTAACAGAGCAATTTGTCGTCGTCTGTCTGTCGTTATGCAGTGCACATAATACAATTGAGGTAACAAAGTAACAACAATGGTGGAGGTAACCTACGGCGGTTTACATTTTACTGGAGTTCCGTCATAGGCCAATAATTTCGGGAGCTTCCTACTTCGATGCGCGTGAGTGCTGTTCCAACGTTTCCTGTTAACTACATATCTGACATTCTTTTTTAATAAATACAAACTCTACTAGATTAAAAACATGCCGAATTAAGAACCTCGCATTTTTGTCGGTTAAAAATGGAATGCAATTAGTTCACGAATAGACGTCTTTCATGCAAGGCTTTCTGGTCAGTATATAAGTGATGCTATAAGATCAATGTACTATTCAGATAAAAATGAAGGATTTAAATTCAGAATTAAATAGTCGCAAGTACGCGACTAGACGGGAAAGCGATATTGAGACATTTTCGTTTTTCAAAAATCAACAGTCGCAATAAGGATAGTCTTTGCGCTAAAGAATGTTAATGAATTAAAGTTATTTGTATTGCGTTACATAAATATAGATATGATTACTTACCCTTCTGTTTCGACAACTAATAACACCAAAAGTGCTGCAAGGCATAGCAGGATCTGAAAGTAAAAAAAATTAAATTAAACAGTGACATGTGTGACGAGTGACGCTTAGCATGATGATATGTCAGTATTAGCTGCCAGCGGCTTACCCGCGTTCGTGTGGGTTAAAAAGAGACCTGTATTTTATTCCAGACCTCTACTCCTGTTGCAAATTTCACGTCGATGTCTTTAGCAGTTTTTACGTAAAGGAGCAACCACAGAAATATTAAAAAAGTTATTGTATCTGTAGGAGCAACAAACGAACACAGATACAAACTTTCGCATTTATAATATTAGTAGGATCAGTATAACGTTCAATTCGATATTGGGCATTTTAGACACACGAGCACGACCAACAAGGCAGGCAAAATTGTTTTGCCTTAAAATTAGACTTAGTTGCTGTTTAGGTTCCACAATTAGTGGTCAAGAACGCGATGCTGAGGACTGGATGTCGTGTCTGATTCCTGGGTAAGACAACGTGTCATAGGGACGTTGGATGCTTTTTTATGGAATAGGTCAGCAAATGAGCAGAGGTATAGCCTGTACCCACCAAGAAGCCACAAATTTGTTGCCGGCCATTTGAAAATTGAGGATGTGGTGAGGATTAGGCCTCCGATAACGTCACTCATACATTGAAACACAAAACAAGTGTTGTTTCAAGACAGTTCTCTATGATACCGTGGCAGCATGATACCACGATGAAGTCGAGCGTTACCTACTTTGTCTAATTATAATAAGACAGTTTGAGCATCGATCAACGGCCAGTGATTAACTCCATGCGTAGGTACCAGACCATCGCTAGCATTGACTATGATATGGAGTCTAGTGATCTACTCATTGCTATTGTGGATTCTATTACGTGATATTATCAGAAACAGGAATCGCCAAATATGCGGTGATTTTACCTCATGTGTGTTTCAATCGATCGCATGAAAGTTATCCCTTATATTGGAGTCGAACAGTCCTCGATCGAGTTGAATCGAGAGTTGTAAGAATTTTTGAAAATTCTCAGTAGCAAGAAGTCTGAAATTAATTTATATAACGGCCGAAACTAATTACCTATATTATACCAAGAATTTGTAGAGGTAGTTAACTCGTCGAGTACCGGTTTTATAGACACAATTAAAGAACAATAGGTCGCGGTCACCGGTGACCGCTTGGTATTTGACAGTTTAAGTAAGTATCGATTTTTGACATTAATTGAATGAAATTTCATGTCAAAACTCGATCTATAAGCACATATTTTGGATTGAGACAGGTTACTTTCGGTCGTAAATCAACCCAAATGACATAGAACTGTTACATGGAACTTACAACAGAAAGGGCTATAATCGAGTGGTACGTTTTTTCAAATCCACTAGGTACTAAACACAATCCTTCCCAATTACTTCTAAATCAGGGCGGTGGATGCGAGCTGCTACGCTCTTATGCCCTAGCTGTTAGCTCAAGTCATCTGTCAACCCTATGATGGGATGATGATAGTGGCTATAGTTGATGATGGGGACCACCGGAATGGTTTTCGTCAGGAAGGAATTCCTCACTCCCTTGCTTTTTCTCCCCAGAAAAGCTGCCTACCTTTTGAAGGTTACCCCCGATATAAAATGTACTGGCGGTCTCCATTTAAGAAATATAGTGCCCCTAAAGAACTTGTATACCCTGCTCTTTGTAAATTTTGTTAATTTAACCTAAGCTGGCTAACATGCTAACGAGCTAACATACCCCGTATGTGTAAAAACTGCTATCTAAATTCAGATTCACGATTCAAATGAAAGTAATTATAATGGATAGATAAAGAAAGAAAGAAAATACACGGCAGTTAGACTACCAACAACTAGAATAAGATCTAATCGAGAGAATACAAAAAAAGTAAAATATTATAAACAAATTAAATTTAATGGATACATATTAAGCGATAACCAGTATTTGTACATCAATTTATACGTATATGAATACGACACGTATATGAATCACCAATCTTGTTGTTTCACCCCTTGTTCATAACTATAAAAAGTTCCATTACACTTGAATAATCTCCGACATTGGACAACAAAGACAGTCATATTTATCGTACTGTATGTATGTACTGCACATCAAAACATTAAATGAAACTTGGTAACATCATTTGTATCTTAAAAATCATTCGCTTATAATCCCATATTTTGGAAATATCAAACGCATCGATGACATGCAAGTAGATACAACATCCACTGGATCTAAAGCTACGACGCAGACAATCTTCATACAAATCACTAGTTAGAGGTATATCAACCCAGACATCAATTAATCAATAGACGCATGCGCGACACCTTCGTTGGAACCCCCATGACATCACAATAAAGAGTTATACACGACATACAATTTGCAACCGCAACATTCTTGTAAGCTCTTCACGTAATTAATCAGAAATGTCAAACAAATTAGGTCTTACAAACGTGGGAACAACAGAATATAAGATTATAAATGAGTCTGATGACTAATAAGTCGTTTAACTTGATGATAAAGACGTTCAAGAGTGACATGCAAATCGTTACAAACAGTTGAACGTTCTCACAGGATCAACAAAAACTTACCACACTTCTACAATCCATAATCGTATCTATTGTTGTACAACAATGTAGTGGAAAGCACAGCAAACGAACATGTGTCGTCTGAAGCAAAAAGTCTCGCGGAGAGATGCGCGTGTGAAATCAATTCGCTGAATAGCGCGTGCGACGCTTTTGCGCACTTACGGAAAATTCGCACTTTCCCACTGCAATGCGATGCGCCCGAGTCTGGCAACTAACTAACAATGAATGCCGATGCGCCTATCAATACTTATATATGGCATGCATTAGCACCAAGTGCAAGTATTCCGTTGATATCCGACCGTCCTATTTCAGAAGCTCTATATCGCATGTAGCTCACTCTCTCTAATGGTAGTCTAGAAAAATCCAACCCCTCCCTTTGCAGCTTAGACATGTTTTGTAGGAATATGCCATACTTAGTTAGCAAAGCAGATGCTACGTCGCGCAAAAACTGCTACGGACACGTACGATCTACAGATTTCCTACGTTGAAATGTAAATAAATGATTAAAATAAAATAAAGTTTAAATTGCCTGTAGTACATACTTACTACTTAGATAAAGATAATTATTGTGTACAAATCATAAGTCAATCAAGTATTGTTGGGAACATCAATCTTCTCAGTTCCATTAATCCTATTTCCTAAGTAGCCATGTTATAGAGATCTAATTCATCATAAGATATGAAGCGATAAAGCTTCGCTCAGTTACTTGGGAAATACTGTAATTCAAAGTACCAAAAATTATTACATTTGTCTTTAAAAATATACATTTCTGACCCTTGATATACATAAAGAGATAATTGTAATATTATAGAGATTGGTAGATTTGGTAGGCCTAACACGGAAAACACCTAAGCGTCTGATGAAAATATAAAACAAACAATACTTATCTACAATTTCAAAGAGCCAATTACCGAAAAAGTAGAACAATACTTTATAGGTTAATGATAAAGGAAATTGAAAGGGGTTCCAAATTAATTTAGAAGCAACCACTATGACCGCATAACCGGTTGTTTATTTACAAATATTTACAAATAAACTGAACCGTTGCCGATAACCATGGTCTAAACAATTTGCCTTTCATAAAACTGTTTCACGCCGCGTAACTCGCAATCGGCTGTTTCAAATAATTATAGAATTGCAATGACGAAAACCATAAAAATTGATTTTATTATATCTACTATTTTCACAATGCCTAACGTGTTTTATAACGATAGTAATACCAAATGACTCATCAACAATAATATGGGAACCTATCCTTATTCCTTAGTACCTAATAGGTACTATTTTGAACTGAAAATATTTGTAAATTTATCTTTCTTTCATGTTGAATGGAGCTCTTTCGTGGTATGATTTTTTGTTTCTGGAGACAGACAGTGCACTGGAGTGATATAGACTCCATTGTTTTATTTGACCACGTGACGTTAAACTTAATTACCTTATCTTCATCTCAGTACTGCCACACCAGACGCCATGTTAGAAAAAAGTAACCCACACAATGAATTGACAAATACCTATGTTTTGCAAACATACAAGAAAAGCAACTAGATGCATAATTATCAAACGTTCTAGACATCTAACGACTACTAAAAACGGGGAGCACGAAATAAATTTTCTCCAATTAATTAAATTGTTATAGCATAATCAAGATTACGTCAAAAGTCCGAGTTTACTCACTTATTACAATAGAATACGGGCATTAATCAAATATCAGCTTCGCCTCATTAAGTATGCTAGTGAAACTGATGGGAGCTGAGCAAATTATATCTTACATTGTCATCAGTACTCGTCGCGAGGCCAGCCTCAGATGTGACTATTCACTATACAGTTGAAAGTGAAATAAACTCTTGCCTTTTTCATAAAAAAGGTCAAGTCTATTTGCAAGTAAGTGCATAACTATTATTCCGAAAACGTCGTAGATGGAGTAGGATTACCCATTGTACACAATATATCCGCCTTTTCTTTTATATTCTTGTCCCATTCGTTTGTATTATTTAAATTAAATTAGTTTGTAATGTGCTGGTTGACATGTAGTCAAAGGACGTTTGACAAAAGATTTTAAAATTGTTAGAGCTTTCGAAAAACAACGCTTTCCTTTTTATATGTCGCTTCGTCATAGTAATACTTAAGAACATCACAAGGAACACATCATATCAACAATCTATAAGTGCTAAAACATGCCTCGTCTCACACGGAGAAGGCTTAAGCATTTATCACCACGCTTGATCAAGACAGGACAGTGATTTCAAACTTATAATTAGAAATAAACCCAGATTTCCTCACGGTGTTATTCTTTACCGCATGTCACTGGTGTATATTTAATCTTAGATTGTTAAACCCCCACCCTCACGTATGAGAAACGGGCTTTTTAAACCTCCGGGCCGCCACCACCACCGTAAGGAATACAATTCAGTATAACTATTAACATCACCGTTAATCACGACAAGGAACTGAAAAATGCCCCAGGGGACAGGAGAGGCGGTTATAAAATCGATACGTGACGCTGTGAGTGAAATCTGCACTATTACCATTAAATAAATGTAGTGTCGATGGTTATAGCTTGGACTATCAGTGCGTAATAAATTCTAGGGCACTAACACGGAAATAGCAAAAGCAGTAATCCATCCAACATTAACTACAGAATTCATACAAGTAACTTTTGCTTACCCTCGCAAATTACTTCCTCCGATATAATCTTGTAATCCAATAAGACTCGTAACCTATCATTATTCGCACACAGACAATTCAATCGTTACTTCTAATTGAACTTAACATTGTAAACATTCTTTCAACTTTTATGTAAGACATTCTTCTTTTCAATTTTGTAAATCCAGTGAAGGTACTTTTCTGGAAATTGTCTGCTCAGCAAATGGTGTGGTCTACAACAAAACATAAACACTAACACGAAAGTAATTACTGGGCTACGTTATATAAACATGAAAATTCGGCTGAAATATGTACTGCCTACTACCTCTCATTATATGTAACAAGTTGTTAAACACAGCAGTCAGATAGCATACCCGTGTATCTTGGAAATGTTTCCAGAGCGCATAACGTAATTCCCAGTCTTCAAAAAAAAGAGTAGGTTTATTCCATGTGACGTGATGCCTGCCGATCTTGTAAAAGTACATCAATGGCGGGTTTAATTGTGGAGCCTCCTTCGCTCGGCGTGCTACAATATGGTTCACGTAGGTGTAAAGCACAGGCGCCTTGTGGACCCAACATATCAGGGACATGATAGATACGACGACGGCATGCAGCCAGTATCTGCAGGGCGCCGGTATGTTCTCTCCATTCAGAGCCTGATCTTGTATGGCCATCACGATGCAAGCGGCGGCTGCAGCTGTCAGTCCACAAGGTACTTCCAGCACCATACAACACACTATAGTGTATATAGTTTTCAGATTCACAATATTGGTGCCGTGTCTTTTAATCGCCTTCAACAGATTATTGTTTAGCTTTTCTCTGTGATATCGAATGAAAAGTTTGTCTTTCATGTCATAATCACCGATTTTCAGTCGCACCTACACATCACATGTAATAAATAAAAGTTACTTTTATTATAACATTCATACCTTACTGACCTAATGTATGTAATTGAATCAATGCATACCTGTGAAAATTCATAGAACAACGTTGGAATTACGAGATATTGTGAGTTGTGCTGGCGATCTAAGAATTTCAGCATAAGCCTACAACCAACAAGACTATTGGTAGCATTCGAAGATCCTACTAAATTGACGAGCACGTGCTCAATCAATCCTTGACCGAAGCTATCTTTGTATATACCCACTTGATAAAATTCAGCAGCGTGGTCTAACAATGTGGAGAACTCTAGGACATGCTCCTGATTCATGTTAACCATCGAGAACCAGTTCAACATTGTAGTTATTATTAACTTACGATGCTTGTTCTCCACTCTTTCAAAGATTCGACGTAAACATACTTCTAAACCTTTTCTAAGATATCTGTACTGTGTTGTCCTTCCATCATCTTTGGATACGCTATAAGCGAAAAAATCTAACAAACGTGTGACGAACGGTAAAAGATTTTTATTTTCAATTACCCAATTAGAACTTTTGAGTAAATTGTACAAGACTCTCATGCGATGTCTGGTCACTGACTCCATGTCGATAAACAGGGCATAGTGAATGTCTGTGAGCATCATGTTGAAGAGTGTCGTCTTTCCTCTATCGAAGAACAGAAGCACTTCCAGAATTTGTTCAACAAAACTCTCAAAAGACCAAAGTTGCACGTCTGAAAAGAACTTAAGAGTAGTCTTAATAGTAGCTTCATTGCATTCTGGTAACAACATATCCATAGTTATTTGAAAGGCTGTTTCAGCTTGATGAAATCGACGCCTGCCACACCAATGCCAATATTTTGAAATGAGTCTGTTTAATTTAATTCGCATACCAAAGTAATAAACCAGGGTTAAAGAACACAGGAGCAATGGATTAAAGTCTTGTTCCTGAAGAAGTTTTCTGTTCGTGTGGCTTAAAATGTAATGCAGTCTATTCACAGCTGTCACCTTGGACTTATGGAATTCTGTATTTAGATTCATTGGCATGTATAACGGCGTGAGCCCTTGTATATTATTCTGCAGCGCTGTTAAGGTTAACATACTATTCCTCCTTGACGAAAAGATCTTCATGTTTAAACATAGGTATATTTATGTACTATATATAGCGTATGTTCCACCAAAAGATTTCAATTTACTTTACTTTACTATACTTTACTTTGGTACCTACAATTCATACATTTTAACCAAATCACATACATTTAATAATCTATGTTAAAATTATTATTATTGTCCATTAACATCTCGAAGTTATTATCACAAAAAGTTATGACATTGACAGTATCATTAATTTGCTTTTTAATCAAGGATATTTTAATTGTTTATTATGTGTTCATTTTTCTCTCTATGGGACAGTAAGATCCATCCAAGAAAAAGTTCGAAAGCAATAGTTACTCAAGCACTATATAAACCGAAAATAATTAATCATCGTTTATCTTCCTTAACTATTCGACTAACAATTGACACGATGTTTATGATCGAAAGATACCACTTCTCCGAATAACTTACGACGGAGTTGTTTGAGGTTGAATGTATGAAACGGTAAGTAGGTAGGTAGGAGGTGTTTCGAATAATACAGAAAATACAAAGAATGTATTTCCACAATGCTACTTCCAGCACGATACCGTCACTTAATTTCAAGCACCAAATGCAAGTCTGTTCGACAATGCTGAGGAACCGAATTATAAAATCATATTTCTAATCATGTGAATATCAATAAAATTTTACTGAATATGCTGTATAAGTAGGTAAGTACAGGGTCATGTCACAAAATAAAACCAAAAGTACGGTTATCTTTTATTAGAATAAATGAACACACTTTGTTCTTAGTCTATCAGTCTTCATAATATTTTGAAGAAAAAACCTCATGCAATAGCAAAGAATGGGTTTTCAGATATAAAAAATATCTGAAAATGATGTTTTTTCTTCAAGACGATAAATTAAATAATAATATTTCAATGAAATAAATTATAGTTTAAATGAGCGATTCATTGGTGGGATAACTTCACGCTTAAACTTATTTGCGTACTACTGTTTGTTGGGATTTTGACCATTGTCTGAGGGGGCTTGTTGTGGGACAGTGTAGGCCGGCTGGCTGTATGTCTGTGGCATGTAGGGGCCAGGGCCGACTTGCTCCTGGAGTTTCTCAGCTTCCTCGGGAGCGACAGGACACATGCATGGCACCAGCTGGACGTGTTGGAGAGACACGGGCGTGAGGCTGGCCCCGGCTGGCACACTGATAGGGATTGGCGCCAGGTTCTGCTGCACCACCTCGGGCTGCGAGTACTGCGGGGGCTGGATCTGGTAGACCTTGCGAGGCTCGTACGGCGTGTACGTGTACTGGTACCGGTAGCCTGGCGACATGTTTGGCGGTAGCGGCTGCACCCACGTCTTCTGAGCGGATGACTGGCTTCTGCAGACAATTTACAAGCGTTTATATGGGAAATTGTTGTTTAGGTTGATGGCAAGACTAATTCGTAACTTGAAGTTGAAAGGTCAGAGTTCAGAATTTAAGGTAATTTGTATAATGGATAATGATATTTTTAGCATAACTAGTGAAACGGAAAAATGTAGGTACGCTTCTGAAAAAAATGTCGACATGTGTTTTCTTTAACTTTTTTATGGGTTGGATGGAAAACAAGGAGACAGATCACCTGATGGTAAGCAATCAGCACTGGCCATGTATACCTACAATACAAAAGAAGTTACAAGAGAATTGCCTATCAGGGCCTATTTAAGGTTTGATCAAATATGATAACTTTTTCTTAAATACTCTCAAGATGGCCTCTAATAAACTTACAACCTTAATTACAGTCGTCAATTTAAATGTTCGTTTATCATTCGACACATAAGAAACTAGGAATCTTAGGAAATACAAACAGCAGAGCAAAAACTGTCACCTGATAAAAAATTCAGACACACCAGTCCGAAACACGAAAGTGAACAAACAATAAGTCAGTATTTATTTTTATGAAATGAGGAAACGTGGAGTTTTTTATCTGGCGCATTGTGTAAATGTAACGATTAATCGGTAACTGATGAGTAGCGACATGAAATCCGTAACTTCTAGTATCTATCATCGAGGAAAGTTAACTGTGCAATATCGGTTATTGAATTGATAACTGCCTTATTGGCCGAGTGGTTGCCAGTGCGACTGCCGGACAAAGGGTCTCGGGTTCGATTCCCAGATCGGGCAAAGTATTACTGCGTTTTTTTAATTTTCAGTAATAGTACGGAGTCTGGAATTGAAACGGAGTAACCGTACGGGATATGGCAATAGGCTCAACCCCTATAAATGGGATTCATAACATAATACTGAAAAGTGAGTGTTACTTTGTACAGTGATATTAAGTGCCGTAATGTACACCTCTGCCTACTTCTTCGGGGGATAAAAGGTGTGATGTTATGTTTTAAATTGATTTTACTAAATAAATTACAAGTTGCATTTATTAAAAAAGATTTTGTTAAAGTTTCTACTAGACATTTTTAGAAGGTCCCTTTCTAACCTTAGTCTTAGGATTTGTTTGCATGTCAAGTAAAATATTATTTAACTAATTTGAGAGAATTAGCACAGAGTCTGGAATGATGCCTGGTATTTGGCAATCGATTCACCTAAAATCACTTGGATAGAACTTAGAGACAGTAATATTTATTACGGAAACGTCTCTCTGCTCTTGGGTACCAAAAAGCGTGATATTATGTTATATTCTAATAGATTTGTAAACCATTTCCTGCTTTACATGAACAAGAAGTAAAAAATATCTCCCACACTTATCGGCTAATACGGAAAGTATGGATATGCTAGCAGTAGATAACTATTTAGTGTGGGAGAGCCATGCTTCGGCACGAATGAGTCGGCTCGACCGGAGTGATACCACGGCCTTACAGAAAACCGACGTGAAGCAACGCTTGCGTTGTGTTTCGTTGTGTGATTGAGATTACCGCAGGCCCAATTACCCCTCTCCCCTTCCCCAATCTCCCCAATCCCTCAATCCCCAACGATCCTCAAACTCCTAATCCCCAAAAGAACGGTAACGCTTTTGGTGTTGCAGGTGTCCATGGGCGACGCCGATTGTTTACCGTCAGGTGATTCGTCTGCTCGTTTATCGGGTTATGCCATAAAAAATATTACAAAATTTATCTTTAAAACGTGAAGAGAATCTATAGATAAATTCCTGTATATGATTTTTCGTTTATATGATGAAAAATCACAAGACCGAAGGTTAATTACATTCGCTATACAATCTGCTACTTCGCCAGTGCTCTCAGTGTCAGTATCAACATTCCATAACAGGCTGCTGTCGGACTACAGGCCTCCCTTCCGTACCCATTCACTTCCATGCTTGGCAGAAGATTGATCACAATTTAAATGGTTGAAACCTCAACTTTACTATATTTATATCATTATTATATAAATATAAATATTTTAGTTTTTGGTTATTTGTATTTATATAATATTAGTTTCTGCCCGCGACTTCGTACGCGCAATCCCATTTCCCCCCCGTTCCAGTTTGTGATTTTCGGTAAAAGTAAAAAAAAATAGACAAAAAGTATCCTATGTCCGTATCCTGGTTCTAACCTACCTTCCCGCCAATTTTCATCCTAATCGATTAAGTCGTTCTTGAGTTATAGATATATAATTATTGAGATTTTATTGGATTGAAATTGCATTTACATTGAGATTGGTTTCAAGAGTAAACACCCTGACCATTGCAATGAAACTAAAATTTTGAGGTGACTGAAGGTATATGAGATGTATGGACCTACGATTTAAGCTTACAGGTAATACTGCACAGCTAAGTCGTAAGGTATGTTACCTGCATTATAGGTATCTTAAAGGAACGGAGAAGGTAAAATCGAACACATATGGGCCTAAACAACACTACCACTTGTATTCCTTTCAATGTGTGAATTACAAATTGATTGATTGCGTGATTACGATCTGCTAGTTAGTAATTCGAGTTCTACTTACGAAGAATCCGAGCCCCATTTTAAGAAGAATGCCTCAGACGATGCAACCAGCGCCAGACTCAGGACAAACTGCATCTACGAACAAATTAGATACATCGAAATCACGTTCTTCAAACAACATACATTTTGGACACAGAAAGACATACAAAATGGTCATAATAGAAAAACTAATAACATCATTAATTTAAATAAAGAAATAAAGCAGTAAAATGAGGGTTTTATTTATTTCTGTAAATAGGCTACGAAACAGTAGATAATATCAAGTTCATGTCAATATTTTTTTTTTAATTAAAAATTAAGTATAGGTATATGAGACTAACATTTCGGTTCCTCTGACTACATTAAGAAGAAACACCGAATGAAACTCATGTAGCTACAACACTTAATAACAATGACTTCATTACACAAAGAAACTAAAATAAGTCACTGTTACATCTAGTCGTCACGTAACCACTAAAAATGATAAAAATAAACAGCGCACCTCATGTAAGATAAGGGGAAAATGAAAGTGGGTACTCGTTATTTACAATGATAGGTGTTCAACTTGGCCATACATAACAATACTTTACTTTCTCATGACATGATGCAATATTTCATTTGAAAATAACATGTAATTGAAATATTAATGACAAGAACTGAAAGAACGCAAATGGTAAATACTTTAAACTCGTCGTGGTGGCCCGGAGGTTTAAGACGCCCACTTCTCATGCATGAGGGTGCGGGTTCGAAACCTACCAACGGCAAGTACCAATGTGACTTTTTCCGAGTTATATGTACTTTCTAAGATTATTTAGACACCACTGACAAACGGTGAAGGAAAAACATCGTGAGGAAACCTGGACTTATAATTTCTAATTATAAGTTTGAAATCGCCAACCCGCATTGAGCAAGCGTGGTGATTAATGCTCTAACCTTCTCCGTGTGAGAAGAGGCTTTGCTCAGCAGTGGGCATTTATAGGCTGTTGATGATGATGATGAAATACTTTAAACAATTACACCTGATTTTAAAATGCTGAAGCTATGCGCTAAAGCCAATTTTCGCAAAGCATTAAAACCACAGGTCGCAAGCAAAAAGAAAATTGATTGACACAAATGTTTACTAAGTGTTGGTACAAACAACAACAAGTAACAACAATCTTGGAGTTAATTAGAGGTATCCGCATCTACTAACATTCATGATTAATGGTTTCATGTTATAAAAATCCTAACCACTCAATTATAAACTCTCTTAATTAGCATTTTTAATAAACAACGCCGTGTTTGTAGACGTGCACCTCCCATTCGGAATTGGATGTTGAGATATAGGGACGGTTAATTGTTGAGAAGTAATTAGAAACTATTAAAATTCGATGGTTAATTTTTACAGTCAGGATAACAATTTGAATTTCCTTCTCATGGAGGATTCGTTGGGGTAATCATAATCATAGGTCCATAGGTACTGCATTCCCGTGTTTCGCCAGATACGAACATTATAAAGAGATTTGTACCGGACCGTGGATAATCGTTAAATGGTGCGTGCGAGTCCCAAACTCATAAATGCTTAATTTATTTTCAACGCTTCGCCTACGACCGCGTGAAGATCAACATCATCTTTAATACACCTATATTTTATTCTTACTAGTGATTGATATACAAATGAGACAAATTGTAGAATGGATTACCTAAAATGTAATCAAATCATAAAAATATAATAGGGACCTATATTTAGTCAGTAAGGCACGTAAAGACAGAAAACAAGTCTATGATAATTTCAAAATAACGTAACTTAAGTACAACCACTTAAATCAATGGTTTAGTCATTATTGAACCAACTTCACAAGGCACAAAATAATAAAAATAATCGTGAGTAAATTATTATCTCAATTACAATAAATCAATCAATCGATGGGTGTCAAAACAGAGATGTTAACAAACGCACCGCGCACTCGAAGCGCCTTGAGCACTAACCGTCCCGTGGGATGACTTGCATCACTCTGCTCTCATCACCCATCCATTCAGCCTTGTTATTGCCGCCACATAAATTGAAATCTTACCCAACAATAGACAATCATTAAGCTCAAATAATGTAAACACGAAAAAGGGATAAATCTTTTGTATGATAGTCGGGAGCGCGACGAGACAGGCTTCTTTTCTTTATATTTTTATTCAACAATATTTATCTAAGTAATTACCAATAGAGAGAGAAATACTTCCTTAATTATAGTAACACCATTAAAATATTATAATGATAATAAAGAAAATGCACTATTAGCTAATTCATCAGCATTAAAAATCGCAAGTGTTAAAATGAATAAATGCTACTCACCACTTTGACTGCATCCGGATACATGGCACTTATGGAGTTGTGCTAACTGGACGAGAGAAGTTAACTAACGTTCACCCCCTCCGAGATTGAACTCAATACTACTAGTTCAAGTTCGAACGAAGAATTAAGTAACCTTAACACAAAAGTCGTTATTTTGGGAACGAAGATGCGTGCACCCACTCCGGCCGCGGAATGACCGATCCCTGGGGACCAGTCGTTTTTTATACACGGTTTCAGAAACATTCCGTCCTTAAAAGCCGGTCCCCGACCTCAACATGAGGTATAATAATAATCTTATTAACTTATCTACACTTCTATCTTTACTTAGAACGTACCGTTATATTAGCCTGATTTTAAAAAGGGCTTTCTTAGATACTGGCCACTTAAGATAATTTCACACTCTTTTCTGACGGCGGCTAAGTGTTTTGACATGGAGTTTTAAAGTGAGGTGTATTTAATGCTGCCTCGATACTTTCTTGCCTTTAGATTATCTACTAAGCGTCTATTATAGGTACCTACAGCCTACTATTAGGTACACAAAATTAACGATGAGAGTTTCATAAGTCATTAAAAGGAAAAAGGATGTCTGCTGATAGGCATGGTTGATCTCCGACATTATTTTTTTATTTCTAAACAACGGTTACTCTGTGATAGTAGGTTTTAACAGTTCCTAATCCTATGATGTTGCTGCCTGCAGGAACAGTGATCTATGACATGGTTGAACATGAAATTGGTAAATTTTCAGTAGGTATATTGAATCTTGATTTGAATTTACTGAATTTTTTTTCACTCCTTGTGTCCCCACAAAAAATTATTGGGTTTCTTAATGGATTGTATGTTTGCGTATACCTAAGCTTGTTATCTCATCTTCTCTTACAGCATAAATGCAAAATAATTGCATAGGTGCGTGTCACAGATTCTTAACGGCTGACTTTCCTAAATAGAATTCAAACTAAACGGAAAACTTCCGTAACAGGTTACATTTCCACATAGTAAAGACTATAATTCACGTTCTTTGTTTTTAAATACTTTGTCCTAAAAGTAAAAATATTTAAGTAACAAAATGCAGTTTGTGTTGCGGATAGATATCCATGGGCGGCACCGAGCACCGAGTTCTTACGAGGCGCCGAGTGTAGGGGCCATCAGTTAACCCGACTATACATTTGCCGCATTATCACATAAAAAAGTAAAGCTGTACCTAAAACTAAGTCGACTTTTGCGATATTTAAAGGTAAGTACACCTTAATATAAAAGTAAGCAGTAAGGTAGTCCAAAGTTATTGCTGAATTATGAAGACAGTTCTTTGAGTCCCAGTATACACAAAAGGGCGGCGCTTTCGGTCTGCTGACCACGTAATGGCAAGGAAGGATGCGGTTGACACTCGTGACGAATCAAGGAGACGTGTTCATTATCATTGAACTCCAACAAACTGTTCCTCCAACAAGGTCCCCTCCGACTTGCTTTGCTACATCGAGCATGAAATCTTAAATGGGTGGAGTGAACAAAATGACACTGTTATACTCAAAAAACGTGTAACGGTCCTTAAGTTTTGGTTAAGTAAATAATTGAACCGATATAAGGCAGGAAGTCAATTGAATTCGGTGTACAACAATGGTATTAAAGTGATTGGGATGGCGGAGACCAAGTCGGTTTGGTAACAGTTTACCTATTTGTATGCGCTGCTGAATGTGGCGCATACAACTTGAGATTTAGATAGGAAGAAATCACGGATAGTCAAAAAATATCCGTTTATTATGTACTTCGCTACCAAATAACTAATGCTATCTATGTTGTTGTGGTGAGTACTGATAAATATGAGTGCTGAACGCGTACTAGCGCTTTATCAGTGATTTGAGTAAAGCGATGTAAAAGTGCTGATGTGCCCTATATGATACATTACTCGTAAACTATTAGTAAACAACGTCTCTTATTCGAAAGTAGAGGTAATTTAATTTTAAAAAATGTACTATCCAAACCAGATCCATAATTCAAACTCACAAGGGAGCTTGCAAACCTACCTACATAGGTAACATGCTAGTTTAAAAGTCACAGACAGCACTAAGCTTCTCAAAGCCACGTCAACGACATTTTGGATGATGTCTTTGACTCGAAGGTGAGCCTTCGTCTAGACGAGTAGTTAATTAAAAGCCTTACAAATGCTGTCAGATGCATTTTCAAAGGGAATTCTTTATATTATTCCTCGATTTAGTAAATTAAATTGCGCAAATTGAAATATGTATATGTATTGGTAAGTTATTAGGCGGTGGCGGTGTTTGTGTCCGTGGCGCCAGGGGTTACCAGCGGTTTTAGATAGATACAATACGATACGAGTAGGTAGGTATACCACCACACCGGGAGGAAAACTTTCTTCTCATGTTATGTTGTTTATGTACCTTATCTTATCTTACCTTAATTATTCTCGGTTTTTTTTCTATTCAAATGGATATTTCACTATTCGTATATGTACTTATCAAGAAAACGGATGGTAGTATGACCCCTGTAACACAGGTACTAGGAGTACCTGTCTTTGAACATAATCTTATACTAAGTGTCTTCATGAATTCTAGATAAGTGTCGTGATGTTGTAACGTGTACCTAAGTACTTCTTTGTTTTGAATAAATGATTTATTTATCTTTTCTTAGGTGTCTCTCGTCTAGTCTCAGCCGATATCACACAGTACAAATTTTACTAAGTTAGAACACACAGTTAAGGATAGTTTTCACTTCAGTTCAGATAGTTTCGGTTTCGGCCGCGGAGCTAGATAGCATATCTGATAAATGAAACCTCATGTGGGTATTTACATTTGAGACTGACGGGTGGAGCTGTTAACCCGATGTCTTACGACGTCGAGATTTTCTTGATGTTTATGTATGTTATATACCTAAGAGCTTAAAATAGTCTAGTTGTTGACTAAAACAGAGTCTAGATAACATCCTATTGCATTAATTTGTCTCCTATTAATTAAAAGATACCTATTGCTATTTTTAGCTTCGTAATTGGTTTTTTACCCCACTGTGGAAAATCCTTAGGGTGCCCTCTCATTTGAGGTAAAAACGAAGGTGACCGTACTTCTCTTACAGATAAAACAACGGAATATATTTTCCGTTCCGTAGTATGGTACTGACTTTGACTGCACAGTTGGCGAGGTGGCTGGGCAAATGGCTACCGCGCATCGTGTAGCGGGTTCGATTGCCGCACGGAGCATCTCTTTGTGTGATCCACAAATTGTTGTTTCGGGTCTGGGTGTCGTGTGTATGTGAAATTGTATCTTTGTAAACGTACCAACGACACAGGAGAAAATGCTAGTGTGGGGTAACGTTATTGAAAAAAGGTATTATGAACATTATTTGTTAAATAATACATTAATGAACTTACCTATATATCAATGATGAATGGTCTCAGTGAAGTCGGTGTTTCTTTAGAGGGAAGTCTTATCTGTATCCCAGGTACCGACATGTATCACAAAGACGAGTCTTTTGAAAATATCTACGTCATGTATCTGATACCGTATTATTTTGACAGGATAAGCAGAGACACTCTTAAAATCGGTTTCTAGTTTACAGTCTATAAAGCAACTTAGACAAGCCAGGTATCCTACCTAGTAGATAAATAGGTATAACCTAACCTGTAATTACACTGAATGCTATCATCTTCATTCTAATAGGATGAGTTTTGACAGCCTGTACGTGCTCTTTTAATTGGGCCAACAAAAAATCTCATTTGTACGCCCCCTCAAAACCAAAGCGACAGAGCTCTGCAAGCATTCCTTATGAGGTGGGAAATAATATTATTTTTATAGGAAAATCTTAATTTATACCTATAATATTCTCTTTCGACCCAGACTTATCGAACAGTTAGAACACAAAAAATAACTCAGTAAATGTTCGGCCAGTCAAGAAAGCACGCTAGTGGGGGGTTTTATTATATTATAAATGCAAATTGTACAGAAATATAAAAGTTTATTTAAATAAAACCCGAGCTATTGTAACATTTCAATTAAAATTAGACACAAAATGTAAAATAAAATGAATAGAAATTACAATGGACACAAATTTAGCATTCACTCCTCATCATCGTCGAAGTTGAATCTCCTCATGCCATCGAAGCGGAAACCGTATGCGGCTGCGTTTTTCACGTCAACTAGCGCCGGGTTGCGGTGCTTGTAGAAACTACCGTGCCCATGCGCAGGCCTCGACGAACCGTTCGGTATACCGTGCGCCTCACGAGGATAGAACGCTTCGAACTGTCCGTCAGAGGGCAGCACATCCTTCAAGCCGTCGTCATCTGGGTCGTAAGGCCGACACACAGATAGCGCCACTGTCGCCAAAATACATATCGTGCAGAATGTTAGCCGCATCTGGAACAACACGATCACAACAATAGATAAACTTGTTACAAATGCAAATAAACTTAATTTACAAGGTACGAAATAAAAATAACAATGAATGGATCACCTGGATGGTGTTAATTGTGCAATGTCAGACGGGTTCAACGGAGTAGGTACTAACGTATTGAATGAAACCGGTGTGGTTTCGACAACGGGCGGCCACAGTCGATCACCTTGAGGCCGAGCAGCTCATGCTAAAATCCGAGAAGTGTAACAGGCGGGGCGTGACGCGCGCGATTCCGCAACACAATACTTTCCCTTCGCGCGTTTGTTACACACCTACTGACGACAACGAGGTGCGCCGGCGTCGTCCGCACACTGCTGAGCATGACAGTGCCCTCGTGCTCATATACGCAAACATATTCCCATACGCAATACACACTAAAAGGGCTTAATTAAGGACACGAAAAGAAAACTCACGTCTCATCCCACATGTTATCTTTAATGAAAATAAATTCCGTCAAAAACTTATTATAATTATAGACAAAAATGACATAATTAGGATCTAGGATATTTTCAAAATGCTTTAATGTGTAATTCTACATATTTTAGAATGTCTCTGATTAGCAATTATATTACTAATTAATTAATTAATATGATGCATTGTCTTTTAGCAAAATATAATTCATTTCGGTTGTTTCATTTTTTTACAATATCAGGTAATTTTATTGCAAAATACAATTTGTTTACTAGGGGCAGTGACAATTATTACTTCAGGTA